GGTGTCACCTGCCATGTTGTTCTATTGTTTCTAGAAGATCTGGAGATGGATGGTTAAGATATTTGTTTGTTCAGTTTCTCTACGGCCATTATTTTTGCATTGTTTTTACTTGAAATGTAAATGAGACTCAAAATATGAATGCAGATATATTGCAAAAAACTATAAAAAGGCAATTATTTTATTCCATTGACTAAATACAGCAGGCCATCCAGACTAAATACAGTAGGATAATCTCAGTAAAACTAAAAGTGAAAGCCTTCTACAGCCATCTTGTATTATTGTAAATTAGTAAATATTCAGATTTTGAAGTCTTGCAAAAAATTACAATTTTTTTTAAAAGAAGGGTACCCAATCACTCAGCCGCCACCACCACATTTTGTCTAACTTTATCTCCCCCAATAATAAAACCTCATTTTAAAACCGCTCTCTGTGAAAAGCCTAATGAACTAACACTACCGAAGAAGAGATCACAAGTTCACTGTGTCATCCAGCCAACTTCAGCTCTGTTTAAAAGATTTTTTGTCAAAAATCATGTTAAAGTCTAGAGCCTCAACAATTCAGTATTGAGTGATAAAAAGGAACATCATTAAGGCAACTTCATCTCCACCAAATATAAATCTACACTTCTATTTCTCTCTACAATATTTCCAATCCATGTATGAATTGTATCCATATACTTTTTAAGTTTCACACAAAATAAATTGTGTTAGTTTCTTTGCTCTAACGAAGACTTTTTTTTTATGTATTATTTTTACAAGACATGCATGATTTTTTTGGGGGGGGGGTAAGAACCTTAAAATGTTCCTTTATTGTAATAATCTTCCCATCATTGCAAAGAAAATAGAAACTCTAAAATATAGTGTATCATCCATAAATGATTCAAGTCAATTTAGTAATTATATGAATGTCTGACACAAGAAGACAGCCGTGATATATTCCAAATGTCTCTGCACAAATTATACAAAGGGGAAAAAAAATTCTATTCCCCAATAGATGAGACTCCAAGTCGGAGCAGTGTCCCGGACTGGTCTTAATGAACGCACACACCGTGGAGAAAGGGAGCTAGGTGCAAATTGTTATTCTGATGCAGACAAATCCTTACAACCGGGCCAGACTCGACTAAATTATTTCTGGAAACATTGAAAGTCAATTTCATCATGTGCACCGGATATATCAGCATTTTCCGGCTGAAATAAATGACTTTGTAAATGACACATGGTTCAACTGGCCTCTATGGTGACACACACACGGACCAATTGGACAATGGTGAATACGGTATAACCTGCGGTACTAAAAGTCTAAATGCCAAAGGGGAACACCTGGCCCAAAAGCAAATAGTTTCAAAGCAGTTGAACGGAAAGCACCATCATTAGAGCCAGACAAAGGTGTGGCTGTGTCTGTGGCCTGTCTTAGCTGCTGTAAAAGATTCAACTATACGACATGACGCTCAAACTGATATGCTGAAGTCTAAACTTACGCTGTTCCCCAAGCTCACACTGAGCGCTAATAAACACATTTGTTTTCAGTAAAAAAACAAAATCTGTCTCAGTTTTGGTGAATTTCACTAAAGCTGGGGAACCTCATTTTCAAACCACAAAAAGATTCAACTAATTTTCAACCAAAACATTCATCCAACTATTTTCTCGCTCTGTACCTGTTTCTGTCACTAGTAACCCAACCATCATTTCAAATTTGACAGTTATGATTATTGTAATTCGAACCTGAGACCTTATACTTCAGCCTTAATACAAAAATCAATAACAGAAATAAATAGAAGAAAAAGATGTAAGACTAATATAATAGTATATACATTTTAATAGCCACATCAAATCAGTAACATCAGCAGCTTTTTACCATCTAAAAAACATTGCCAGGATCAAAAACATAGTGTCTAAAGCAGACTTGGAGATTCTTATCCATGCATTTGTCTCCAGTAGGTTAGACTACTGCAATGGCCTGCTCACAGGTCTGTCCAAACAGGCTGTAAAACAGCTGCAGTACATTCAAAATGCAGCAGCTCGAGTCCTGACTAGAACCAGGAAGTACGACCATATTAGTCCGGTCCTCAGGTCTCTGCACTGGCTTCCTGTGGCTCAGAGAATAGACTTTAAAACAGCTCTGCTTGTGTACAAGTCTCTCCATGGCCTCGCACCAAAATATATTAGTGACATGGTAGTCCCATATGAACCAGCCCGGACTCTGAGGAGCACAGGGACTGGACTCCTGTTAGTGCCCAGAGTCAGAACTAAACATGGGGAGGCTGCTTTTCAGATTCATGCTGCTAAAATCTGGAACAATCTTCCTGAAGATGTGAGACAGGCCTCTTCTCTGACAATGTTTAAAACCAGGTTAAAGACAGTTCTGTTTAGCTGTGCATACAACTGAGGGATTTTATATTTTATATTTGTATCTTTATTTTTAATGTACTGTGATTATTTATGATTTTAATGCTATCTTGTTTTGTTCAGCACTTTGAGTTGCCTTGTGTATGAATTGTGATATACAAATAAACTTGCCTTGCCTTGCCTTAGGTTGTTGTATACAAAGTGTCTTATATAGCTTGTGGATAGTTTGCTTTGGTATCGGGCTTGAATTAAAATTGCCATCTCACAATGATTATTTTGTGACCACAAATCTTGATAAACCTAATCCTTTTGACAATTTAAACCTGACCGAGCCTTGACAATATGTAAACGGTTACACATATATAAAGCACCAGCAAATCTACTACAAGGATGAACCACAACTCACACTTTAAGTATTATATTAAGTCTTTCAACAAACTGGTGTTTCTGAGAGCTCTGAATGACTGGCTGTTCAAAGCAAATTAGCCAAGGATTGTAACAGGAAGTCATGTGAACGGAATCGCTAATGCATTGATAGTTAAGTTCAACAGTGAAACTAACCCTGCTAGACAAAATCGATCTTGGCTGAGACTCAAAAATAAAAATAGAAGGTGGGGGCCGCTGTGTAAACCACTCTCGGCTTTCTAGGACCCATTTCATTTAATTATAAAAATGCATTAAAAAGATATTAGCAGTAGCCGCCGTTTAATGAAGCATGTTAACGTGGGGATATTGTATGTGATGAAGAACGTCTGGGTTGATCCCGGCAGCAGACTGGTTGTAGGTGAAATGATGAATTGTTTCATTCTTAAGATGTGGCTAAACTGCGAAGAACCTGTGCATTTAGGTGTTGCATTTGTGGTAATTTTATGTATTTACTTTTTCATATAATGGAAGTATTTTGAACAATTGTGTACTTCTTTTGAAAATAGTAATATGCTTTTTTGTATTTTTTTCTGAACAAATTTGGTTCAGAAAAATGTAAGCAGAGAACTGTATTTTTAAAATTTGTATTCAATATTATCTATCATTTTTTGGGATCGTCGAGTAAAATATAAAATGTTGTTGTGCCATGCCATTGTAACACATCGGCGTTAGAGCCAGCCGATATATCAGTCAATCTCCCATATGTCTAAAATATATCTGTATGTCTTCTTATGTGAGCTTGGACAGGGCTGCCTGCTTAGTCTATACTCGCTTGTAAAAACCCACGGTGACTGAATGACATTGACAGACTTAATTCTTATACTTTTCCAATCCAAAGAGAAAATGGCTCACCCTGCTCCAGTCCTTTGGCAGAGAAAACCCAGTGCACCCAGTGGGAGTTTAATGACACCATCGCTCACTGACTACCGCCAATTGATTTCTGTGTATTGCCTGGTAAAGCCAAAGTCAATACAAGCTCAGTGCGCGCCTGTCAATTTTGTCCTATTTGTACAAGCTTATCATTGCACCGTGCCACATCAACAAAGTACACAACAATACAAATGGCTTTTTCATTTCTATGCTTCTTCAGGTTCAGATTTCATACTTTTCTATGATCAATTTTCCAGTCTAAGCAAAATGACACAAGCAATATTGTATATCAAGCCCGATTGCCGTGTAAATTAAGAATCTTGGGGAATCATGGGTGTCCTAACCAGAATCGATATCCCTACATTAGAGAGATATTTGAAAATCAACAATAAAAGGTAAAAGAAACCTGAAATGGGATGGCGCCTGTCTTCCTGTATTACATCTTTTTTAACACAGTCATCTGATATGTGTATTAGTGGCCCTGGATAGTATAGTTACAGAGTACAAATGATAATTATGTCACCGCCGAGAGTGATTAGATTAGCGCTTAATGCACTATGATTAAAACACAAGCTTTACTCTTTTGGCGGAGTGTGTGTGCGTCGCCTTCGCCACAAGACAGAGCATTTAAATAGGAAGGAATCTTACAAATGGACCCGGCTCAGATGCCACTGGGAACAACTTATGCTTTCAAGCAGAAAATCTCAGACAAATCACAATTTACTAACTAAGGAAAGCATTGCAGATTATCCCCTATCGGCCTGTGCGCGCATTCCTCAGAGCAGCGCAACTTTTACACACACATGAGAATTTGTTTTTGTGCAGCAAATTAAGAAAAAGTGAATACAAAATTAAAGCTGAGGTAAAGCACTAAAAGTTTGCTCATTTGTTTGAGTCATCGGATGTCTATCTGCTGTTAGGTGGTTACAATATGAAAACCTGCGGCTTACATTTCACTGCCTCCTATTCACTGTATGTAAAGTTTATTTTCTTTTCATATAGATGGTGCAAGAAATAATCAGGAGCGCATAAACACCTGACATTTACGGCATTTCATAAAACCCATGTAAGATAACGAGTTCCTTGTGAATTCTATCACTAACTTTCACATGCATGAATTTTTGGTCTCCGTCGTATCTTTAGATACGCTTTTTCAGACATCAAAGTGAAAGGGCTTTTTCCTTCAAGTAAGCATTTTATATAATGTTTTCTAATTAGATAACAACAGCATGTCGTGGTCTGATTTGTTCACATGTTACTCTGTTGAAACAAACGCAATGTATTATTTTATGAATGAAAAAGTGAGTCATCTCAGCTTTTATTGACATCAGTGAAAAAGAAGTGAACAAATGGACTTACCCTCTGCTGAGTGGACTTGAGCTAAGGTGAGGATAAACCAGCAGAAGGTCGGTAACTTCCACAGCGCGCATGCCATGGCGCTGACAGTCGGAGGACAGGCTTTGTGCTTAAAAGTTGCAGATTAGAGAAGTCCAAGCCAGGCCTTCTCCGTGATGCTCATGACTGAGCCCCATTCACCTGGAAAGCAGAAGAGGAAGACTTTACACGTGATCCTGGAGGTAAGATAAGCAGCCAGACGTAGGAGCAGTGCGCGCCATTAGACTGCGCCGTTAGAAGGCCAATATAGCTGACATCATGGTATGAATGAGAGCAAACTATTTTCACTGTGAGAGAGGGAGGAGAGAAAAAAAGCTTGTCAGGCATCGTCATCAAACAGATAAAGCCTGCCCTGTCCAGCTCCTCTGACCCATAGCTAAGTGATGTTAACCTTATCAGAGCTGTGTCAGGTTACATTTTGGTGTCTATGCTAAAGAGAGCTGCACGCAAATGCCTGCTGTGAAGACGCTGGGATTTCACATGTAACAACACATTCTTGTCAAAACATGTGATCAATACACAGCCAATTATGTTTCCGCCTCGACCATATACAACAGCAAAAGGTCATCGGGAAGTGTATAGAAAAGAGCTGCGAAACCATATGCATTATTATAAGCTTGCAGCGGAAACGTTAATTTAGCTGACCGTAACACTAAATGCTAAAATCATCCGAGGTAATAGCTTAGCAAGCATTATCCAAGAAGCTTCTCCACATGTTGTAGTAATGTGAGTTTGCATTAGCTTTGCAGATGTCTAGAAATCAATGGCAAAAAGTACGCTCCAAAATTAGCAGCTTATGTAAGAGCTATTTTCAGTGTTGATTTATTAATGATCGAATAGCAATACGTGACTTGCAAAACAGCCCCGGCAAATATCTGCGTGAACTTTCTTGACATGTTTTCACATCTCCATCTCCATATTTTGACTGGCCGCTGTCTTCCCTGCACCCACCGGTATCAGACGTCACACTGATTTTTACCTCCTCGACTTTAAATCCTTTTTCTGTCTCATCACACTTGTTCCTGGGGTAGTTTGTTTTTCGAGTGTTTGTTTTTGCTCTTTCTGCTACAAAGGCATAAATGGGCTCCTCCCTGTCACCGTTAGAGCGTGGCTGGAACCTAATGCCTACCTGCGCGGGCCCAGGCATGCGTTTTGCACTCTGAACGGCTCCCTTTTGTCACTGTGTTTACACTGGCGGCCCAAGCCCTGCTCTCTCACTCCCATCCACCATTAGCACATTCACCATGGGATAAGACATCGCTACGGCAACAGGGCGCATAGGACCCCATTAGAAACTGTTTTTCTGCTTGTCTTTTTAGTAGATTGAAAAACAACATTCCATTTGTGTGTCCACCAGATTTAGAGTGCTGAGTAACATTTACTTGAACTGCAGTTTGTATACATACGCTGCAAAAAATATGAAAAATAAGCACAAAATTGTTCAACATTTGCCAAATGTATCTTAATTTGAGCACATTTTCGCTGCCTCAAAATGTGTTCATTTGCTAATTTGCCAATGGGACAAGCAAAATTATCTTGTTTTAAAAAGAGTAATATCTCCCTTGGAATGAAAAAATAAAGCAACAGTTCTTGAAATGAGACTGCCAAATCTTGTTTTAAGACAGTCAGAATAAACTTAAATTAAGATAAAAAAATACTTCGTGCAATTATTACCTCAATTTTTATCATTTTTTGTAACGGTTCGGATTAAATTATCAATACCTGTAACTCTGGAGCTTCCAGTAGCTCACCAGCCCCTTTCAGGTAGTATTTTAAATTTAACACATGATATTGAATGAAAACATTTTGAGTCATTACATACTGTATCTATTATAAGTATAGATAAAAGGTTATACAGTATTATGGTATATTTCTATGTTTTGTCGTAATTATTGTAAGATTTGTATTATGAAAAGAGTAGCTCTGCCTCTTTTGATGTCTAAAAGTAGCTCCCTGATTGAAAAAGGTTGGAGACCCCTGCTCAATGCGCTTATTCCGTAGACTCCTTCTTTCTTGAAGTCTTTTCTTCAACAAATGTAGGATGCAAATATATTTTACTCAACTGACCAAGTCCAGGGTCCTTGTCCAATATCTATCGTTTCATTCAAGTCCCTGGTTCAAAAACATATTTCTGTATCACAAATGTTCAATGTATCATGTTTGTATTTTTCAGACAGAAAAGTGAAAAAGACTGGACCACCCTCACTCTGCCAGTCCGCTCTTACTTCAAAGTGTCAAACAGTGACTCATTCAGCTCTTTCTACAAGTTAGGGTTAGGGTTATGATGAAATACAGGATGAGGTGGTCTGATTCGTTCATAACATTTTATTTTTATAAGACTCTTTGAGATTGGACAAAAAAGTATTATTTGTGACAAAAAACAACCTCCAACGAGGTTATGTTTGTTGGTTTGGCTGTAGGTTTGTTAGATTGAAACATAATTCCGTTATAGTTGAGTTATGTATGTAAGTTAGTTACTAACTAGTTAGCATGTATTGGAATCGGCTAGTCACTGTGGAACATTTCTAATTATTACCAATAGAACCTATGGATTAGGGCTGAAACAACTAATCTAATTGAAATAGTCGACAACTATTTTAGTAATCGATTAATCGTTTTCTGGTTCACACGGACTCAAACAGAGTAAAAATGACATGAAAATGTAGTATTTTTGATTAAAACCGACTTTGTTTTTATAATTTCATGAATATCTGTCTGTCTCATCCAATCAGATAGCAGAATTAGCACAAAGAGCCTGTTACAAACATTTTCTTTAAGTTTACGCCATCAATACGTCCTCGAGTGTTGCCACTTAAGCTTTTTGTGATGAAAAAATCCTTTTTTTCTACACAATTCACAGCCAAGCGATTACTCGATTAATCGTAAAAATAATCGATAGATTAATCGATTACAAAATAATCGTTAGTTGCAGCTCTACTATAGATTTCTCTTTTTTTCCTTAAAGAATGAAAGCATCCAAATGAAATAATGAATAAAACACATTGCCACTACAAACAGTAGATTGAAGCAAAGCCCACAGTGTTTTACAGAAACTCTTTTAAGCTGTATAGGGATCGGATTACACTAGCTGCTGCAGTCTAATAATAATAGGCATTGGGAAAACGCACACATTAACCAACATAGTTCTAATTAAGCCTGTGATAATCAGCCCATCTCCTTTGACATTATGCCTCACCTGAGACCTCTAATTTCAGAGCGTTTATTGAGGTTAACAGGAGCAGAGCACATCAAGCCAAGGCGTATTTAATTCAAATTGAATGATATGCAGGGATACTCTGAATGAAAGTTTCTGAGAAAGAACAAACGTGGTGTAGAGCATTATTCCAGCACCAAAGTATTTGTTTGAGCTGACCAATGCCTGTGCAGCTAATTAAATGTATCAGGCAAGTGAATAATCTGGCTTTGATCTAGGTTCATTTGGAATAACGAGACCTTAAGGAGATTGTATATAAAGCTGTACTATTGGCTTAAGGATCTTTGGTGCACACAGACTAAGCTGTTTTGTCCACATGCAAAGATACTGCCGGAGATAGCAACAACAATAGCAGCCGAGAGGCTTTGAGCATCTATTCTGTCAATACATGGTCCTTGGTAGAGCTTTGTCACAGAAGAACAATTCCTTCAATTGAAATACTATTAAAGCACACATATAAAAACATGACCATTTAAAATGTGTAGAAGGACATCATTTCTACTAGAAAGTTTGTTTATAATAGATTGAATACTTTACTGGGGAGCATTCAAGAAAGGCAACAACAACATGATCACAAGTAGATGACAATCCTGGTCAGAAAAGTTGTGTTGTGCAGCATTAAAATGTTAGGGATGGACATTTTTTTTGTACTGTATACACAAGCATAGGTAAGCACGAGTTAGACCCGCCCATTCTAAACCCCTATGGGGATTGGATATTCATCTGTAATTGTCAGCTCTGCTCTCTTTCCATTGGTTTAACTTCACCTCATCTTGTTGCCAGTGGTTAAGCCTTGGGGACATATTTTTTTGCATTGCTAAGTTCAACCACTTTTCGAATAGTGCATTTCTGTGAAGTGTTTATTTTGTAACTGTTGAAGAGGGCGTGTCTTAGTCTATCATTTTGTATCCTGTGGGCTGAGTGACTTTGCAGAACCGGGAGGACCAGTGGATGCCCAAAAATGTTTCGGTGCCCATGCGCTACTGAGACCAAGCCATTGATTGGAATAGGAGCCATCTTGGATCACGGGGGCTTGGGTGAACCTCATCAAGGCTGTTGCTCTTAGTTCTGCTGTCTCCCTTTGACACTTGGGCTAGCTTCCACACTGCTATATAATGAATAAATAGTTGACAACAAAAAAGAAATATATTTGAAGTTATTGCCTTATTGCTTTTACTCTTTCTACAACTGTAACTACAGAGAGACCAAATGCACGTCTATTTGTGTTTGGTCATGGTTGGATCGCACTTGCAGTCTACATATGTCAACAAACTGTATACATCTGGAGGCTGTGAGCGCAGTGTAGAATCAATATGATTATTCTTCTTCCTTGTCATCTTTGCTTTGTGTGCAGCCTTCAGTGTCAAGATTCAAAGCAAAGATTTAAACATGGGCAGCTCTGAGGCAGCCGAGACCCCCCCTGGTGATAAAATACGTGATGTAGTTAGTCGTACACGCCCGGGGCAGGTTTCTGTGGAAATCGATGATAACAGTGCTATACTTTAATATATTTGGCATCGTGCTGTGAGCGTTTAACATGCTGAGCTGGCTGAAGGGAGAGCAGGAGACTGGTGCGATGCTCATTACACATGTTGTGGTCTCCTTGCACAGTTGGGGGTCACCCTACTTCTGGGCCTCGCCGCAGAAACCGCCCCCACCCCACCTTGGCTCTGCTCTTCAAGAACCCACACATTTAGGTATGCACTTTTAGGATGGAATATAGCTGAGTAATACATATGTTGCGTGCTCCTCGTGTGCTCTTACATACTGTCCTATAAGTGCAGGAATTTTGCCACTGTGGGATGGATAATGGTTCTCTTATCTTATCTTATCTTAGAAATATGAAGGAAATAACATTGTAATCTGTCCGTGTATTTGGTGCCGCCTGCATGTGAAAACCATATCCCATCAGACCTCTGAAGCCTAT